GACTCCACGGCACATAACAACAACAACAAGGAGATCTGATAGTGCAATGGTTAATTGCTTGGCTGCTAACTAAATATTCAGTGATCAGAACCCACCAACCACCCCCAGGAAAAGGATGCAGCAGTCTGTTTAAAGGTTTGATGGTGTTGTTAAGTGCTGTGGAGTTGATTTGAACTCATAGTCACCTTGCATAGTGCTTCCAAGGCTATAAATCTCTGCAGGAGCAGAAAGCCTCATCTTTGCTCCCTCAGAGTGGCTGGTGGGCTCAGACTGCCAACATTGTGGATTACAGTCCGGTGCTTATCCTACAGAACCAGCGAGTGCTCCTTTTTGTTGTTATTGTTAAGTGCCATCAAGTTGGTTCTGACTCTTTGGGACCTCGTATAGGGTTTCCAAGTCGCTACTGGTGAGTTTGAAACATCGACCTCACAGTTCAAACCAATCTTGAGGTCAAGTGCTTATCCCAGTTACACCAGAGCTCCTGCTGTTAAATTTCATTTGGATCAGACTTGCTCTGAAGAAATATACTCAAGGAGAGGGCTGAGATATCAAGAGATGTACCTCTAGGAACTTAACAAGCTGAGATGACCCTATTATGAAGTGCTGTGGAGTCGGTTCTGACTGGACAATTTCCAAGGAGTGGCTAGCAGTCCTTTACTGACCCTACAGCACCACCCCAGGGCGCTAAGTGTTGTTGTTGTTGTCATGTGCCGTGGAGTCGCTTCTAACTCACAGCAACCCTGCATAGGGTTTCTGAGGCTGTAAATCTTTACAGACTCAGAACGCCTCATCTTTCTCCCACGAAACATCTGGTAGTTTCGAACTGCGGACCGTGACACTAACAGCCCGATTCGTAGCCACTACACTACCAGAGCTCCCTGCCTGAAATAAGGAGTTACTTTTAAGTGCTAATCATTGGGATTACACCTGAACCCAACTCTCACCTTCACACAAAGTGGGTTGATGAAGAAATTGTTTTTCTGTAAAGATCGCAGTCTTGGGAGCCCCCTGGGACACGTCTACTCTGTTCCACAGGGTGGTTTAAACTCCAAATCAACTCACTGGGAATGGGGATGGTTTGGATTAGGAGCCCTCATAGTGCAATGGCTAAGTACTCAACTGCTAACCAAAAGGTCAGTGGTTGGTGCCCACCAGCTGCTCCCCCACCTCCCCACCCCCCCACCCCCCCAGGAGAATGCTGAGGCAATCTGCTTCTGAAAAGCGACTCTCTGTAGAAATCATCGGGGGCAGTTTCACTACATCCTGTGGGAACTTGGAGTCCTGGTGTGGCACTGTAGGACCAGCACTGGACTGTGAACCACAAAGTTGGCAGTTCAATCCCACCAGCTGCTCCTTGGAAACCCTATGCAGGGTCACTATGAGTCGAAAATGACTCGATGGCACTAAACAACATTGAGGGCCTGGAATCCTGATGGGAAGCTGCAGGATACTGCACTGGACTGCATGGTCAGTTTGAACCACACGGTCAGCGGTTCAAGCCCACCAGGGTCACTGTGACATAGACCATCTCAATGGTACTTAACAACAGACATATTCTAGCGTGGCCCTGCAGGATAAACATAAGGTCGGTTTGAACCACATGGTCGGCAGTTCAAACTCACCAGTGGCTCCTCAGAAACCCTATACAGGGTTGCTATGAGTCGGAACTGACCCAAAGGCACTTAACATGAGCATCCTTGTAGTATTGTGGGTTATGTGTTGGACTGCTAACTGCAAGGTCAGCAGTTCGAATCTACCAGCCACTCCACAGGAGAAAGATGAGGCTTTCTGCTCCTGTAAAGATTTACAGCCTATACAGAGTCACTATGAGTCGGAACCGACCCCACAACATACCAGCACTATAGGGTCACTATGAGTAGGGATTGACTCCACCGGTCGGGCTGGAGAGGCAAACAGGGCCAAGTCATAGCCGCCTCCCCTCTGGAATCCGAACTCCCCATTTGCAGCTGTTCTGTCTCCCACTCTGGCTTGAGAGGCCTGGGTGGGCAGAGACCAGCTTTTCATGGTTACAACCATGTTTCCAACACCTACCCCAGGTCCTCAAGTGGCACTGAGCACCATGAATCCATCCGTGGATGTCTGACTGAAGGCACAACAAAAAGGAGACTCAAAGAGACAAACTGCTCAGGCGAGATTCCCCAGGGAGGACAAGGAGCAGCCAGGGTTTAAGTCCCGGCTGGTGACACAGTTCTGTTCCCAGTCCTCCCAGTGTCCAAGTGCCCAGCCTTGCCCCTCACCGTGTTGTAGAACTCGGCCACCAGTTCCGAATGCAGGAAGTTAGTCTCACACCAGTCCACCTCGGAGCTCTGGTAGGCGAAGATGCTGGGCATCCTGGCCACTGACTACTGGCCACTGGCAGCATCTGACAGAAAGGAACAGGTAAGCCAGGAGCACAGGGACCAGGTGAGGCAGGCGGGGAGAGGCCAGCTCTGTGCCCCGCGGCAGGTGAGAGGAAAAACCTGCTAGGTTGCTCCCTGGTTACACCAAGGCTGTATGGCTGTGTGGCGGGCGGGGTCCCTGTGCATAAACCATGGGGCTGGCAAAGGTGGGTGGGGAGGCAGCTACCCATCAGGCCACAGGGAAATTGAGATGACTGATTTTAGACTAATAATACTAAATGTATGCTGTT